ATAAATAATGGTTGATGATGATATAAATCAATTATGAATAATTGTGAAAATAACAAGATATAATCGAATATAGATGTTGTATGTGAAAATTATTTTTAAAAAAGAAAAGAATTATGTATTGAATTTCATTCATTGAATCTTGGAATAAAAGTATATCGGCAGCTTCCATCAATATCAGATCTATATATATTTAGTACAAGTTCCATAAACGAAAATTTATTAAATGAATATGTTTATTAATTATTAAACTTTTATTTTTACTCTTTTTATTATAGAAATGATCTTTGAAATCTCAAGAAGATGAAGTGTTTTTGGTAGTTGTTGTATTTTTTGTGAGATTTCGATTCTTGCAGCGGGTAATGATAGTATCTATTGTACTTGTGACGACGACGACGACGACGATGAATCATTTAAATTTTGTTCTTGTTGTTACTTTGATTTTCTTTTTCGTTTTAATTGTGAACTAATGATCAGGTTTAACAAACTATGACATATATGTTCTGAAGCACATATTTATATTATGAATCCTCATTTAACATTGTACTTGATCTGTTATACTTTCTAACCATGGTAAATTCACTGCACTATCATTATCACTATTGCCACGCTTAATGTTACCACTGACATCACTATCAAGGTTGTCATCGTTTTTATTATCAAATTTCTATCAAGTCTTTTAAAAATTTTTTTTACTAATCCTAGAGTTAAGTCTTTTATTGATAGCAATGTATGGAAGTTTCCTTGTTACCTGTCCTCTTCATCATCATTAATTGAACGATTACTCTGAACAGAGGAGCTACTAGTTCTATATGTCTAGAAATAAATAATACAAAGTCATCTATAAACACTTTTTAACAATCATGTTCTTCTCATTGGCTGTACTAATTACACAGGTAATTTAGTCATCCAAAAGGATTTTGGGAAGGAATACAATTACCTACCACCTGCCTCGATTATATTATTACAATATCATTAATACAGAATATCATTTTGACCAAGGTGTTATTTTTATTTTTTATTTTTATTTTTAATATTAAAATTTATAATTTGAAAAAGGAATCAAGGATCAAGTCTTAATTAATAATTGGTATTTTTTATATATGTATGATAAAAAATTAGCGTGAAATAGTATGACGCGTGATCACTCGCCCAGGTGAAGAAGATGGTTCTCGATAACTTTTATGAGGTTTAGGAACTTTTTTAATACCAAACAGAGCAGGGTATTTTCTTTTAGCATGTTCATAAGCTACTCTACGCTCACTCAGCACAAATTTAATTCTTGCCATTGATTTTTGGCACTAACAAATAAAAAACCATTTAGAGAATATATACACTCACATTAAAAAAAATTTTTTAAAAAAGAATGGATAAAGTTGTCAACCCACCTTATATGATCTTTCATGATGTCTATTGATCCATTCAGGATTAACGACTTTACGCCATCTTCTAGCTTCTTCATACATTGTAGCCAACATATTACGTTCTTTCAACAGTATATACCAAAGCCTGTGAAGATCTTCAAAGGATTTGGTACGAAGTACTGATGCTTGCCATGAATTACCTTTAGTCAAATGGGGGGGTTTTTTTTTGAAGAAAAATGATAAATTTACATGTTTTTGTGTGCGTTATGGAGATATGTTAATTAGCAACCAATTAGAATCCAAATAAAATCCAATTAATCCAATTATTTAATGCTCTTGATAAATATTCTTATATATTTGCGTGTGTATATATTTACCAACAGGATAAAGCTCGTTAGTCCTAGGTAAAGGATTAGGACTATCAACACCGTTTTGAAAGAATTCATATAAGCCCACGACACCTTTCCCTTTACTTGGTTCGAACCTATTTTTAACACTAGAGGTTTGAAAGGAACGACGTATGATACTAGAGAAATTGCTCATTAACATAATTTTATCACTGGAAATATTATTAAAATCACGTGAAAGCATTTTAATTATTTTTACACATTAATTAATATATACAGTAAAATCTAAAAAAATAGAATAATATATATATATATATATATAAATACTTTGAAAAAACCAGCTACTTTTTTTTGAATTTTTTCTTTTGCTCATTAGAGAATTTAACATTTACAATACTTCAAATAATTAATAATAATAATAATATATTTTGATTACGAAAAGAATTACTAAAAAAATGGTTGCTTTACATCAAAACAATTCTAATTACCAAAATAAAATAATAATTATTATTATTATAGATAAATATATATATTAAATGTCTATAAATTAAAAATGGAAAAATTCATCCTCGCTATAATTTACAATTGCGAAGCTTCTTTATCCAATTTACCCAATATTTCTCCTATCCTTCCCAAACTAAATTCGTCTTCAAGATCATTATCAACTTCTCCCAATATAGTTTCCACAAAATCATCCACTTTATCAAGATCAATTTTACAACAAGTGGAAATAATTTGTTTGTATTGCAACTCTGCACTTAATGACTTCTCTTGTAATTTTTCAATTTCACGTTGAAGTAAATCTTTGTCAACTCGATATGCTGATAATTGAGCTTGAAGTGTTTTCAGTTCTTTTTCAGACATTTCATTTTCGTTGCCATTACTGGTGGGAGTAATTTCAACGTTAACAGCCGAACCTATTACTGCCTGGTTTGAATTGTTAGTTGATATTGATGATGACGGTGTTGCAATTGTTGGTTGGGTAATTGATATGGATGGTATGTCAAATTTTTTATTTTGAAACAATTCTATTGATGATAGTGTTGATGATGGTACATTTGATGATGGAGGTGGAGATAGTATATGTGTTAGTGGCAGTGGTGTTTTTGTGTGCGTTATGGAGATATGTTAATTAGCAACCAATTAGAATCCAAATAAAATCCAATTAATCCAATTATTTAATGCTCTTGATAAATATTCTTATATATTTGCGTGTGTATATATTTACCAACAGGATAAAGCTCGTTAGTCCTAGGTAAAGGATTAGGACTATCAACACCGTTTTGAAAGAATTCATATAAGCCCACGACACCTTTCCCTTTACTTGGTTCGAACCTATTTTTAACACTAGAGGTTTGAAAGGAACGACGTATGATACTAGAGAAATTGCTCATTAACATAATTTTATCACTGGAAATATTATTAAAATCACGTGAAAGCATTTTAATTATTTTTACACATTAATTAATATATACAGTAAAATCTAAAAAAATAGAATAATATATATATATATATATATAAATACTTTGAAAAAACCAGCTACTTTTTTTTGAATTTTTTCTTTTGCTCATTAGAGAATTTAACATTTACAATACTTCAAATAATTAATAATAATAATAATATATTTTGATTACGAAAAGAATTACTAAAAAAATGGTTGCTTTACATCAAAACAATTCTAATTACCAAAATAAAATAATAATTATTATTATTATAGATAAATATATATATTAAATGTCTATAAATTAAAAATGGAAAAATTCATCCTCGCTATAATTTACAATTGCGAAGCTTCTTTATCCAATTTACCCAATATTTCTCCTATCCTTCCCAAACTAAATTCGTCTTCAAGATCATTATCAACTTCTCCCAATATAGTTTCCACAAAATCATCCACTTTATCAAGATCAATTTTACAACAAGTGGAAATAATTTGTTTGTATTGCAACTCTGCACTTAATGACTTCTCTTGTAATTTTTCAATTTCACGTTGAAGTAAATCTTTGTCAACTCGATATGCTGATAATTGAGCTTGAAGTGTTTTCAGTTCTTTTTCAGACATTTCATTTTCGTTGCCATTACTGGTGGGAGTAATTTCAACGTTAACAGCCGAACCTATTACTGCCTGGTTTGAATTGTTAGTTGATATTGATGATGACGGTGTTGCAATTGTTGGTTGGGTAATTGATATGGATGGTATGTCAAATTTTTTATTTTGAAACAATTCTATTGATGATAGTGTTGATGATGGTACATTTGATGATGGAGGTGGAGATAGTATATGTGTTAGTGGCAGTGGTGGCGGTGGTGGTGGTGGTGTTGTGGAGGCAGATGATGTTACATTATCCAATAAAGTTCTATTCACTGACGATGATAATGGTGATGATGAATCTAAATTATTATTCTTATTATTTGCAGTAGTTGTGGATTCAGCTGATTCATTATAATTATTTAAACCATTTTTTATTATTTGATGTGGATGTGGATGGGAATTTATTGGCTGTGGTTGGTGTAATTGTTGATGTGTTTGTTGTGATAATACTTGTGAAGAAGTAGTATTTATTAGGTTGTTAGTATCAATATTATTCTGCTGAGGAATAGTTGTAATTCTTGATAAAATATTATTATCACTATTATTGTTATTATTATTAACCACAGGTTTATTTAATAATACATTATCATCATGATTTATCCTATGTTTCTTATGTATAGAATCATTATCTTCTTCTTCTACTTCATTAATTACTTGTTCCAGAAACTTCAAGTATTCTTCTGTGTTATTGTATTCCTTTTCATTTTGACGATAATATTGTAATGATCGCTTCAAATCAATAAGTTGTCTTGTCAGATCATTAAATCTACTTTGAGCATTAAATAATTCATCTTCTTTAACCTTAAGTTGTACTATCCATTCATTCTCTGCATCTTCCACAAGTTTTTGCAATGCTAAATGTTAGATTTATTAAAATTATATAGATAATTATATATATGATTTTTTTAAAAGAAAAAATCAAAAAAATCCAAATTTTTTTTTACCTGAAACAACTTCTCTAGATTTCCTACGATTACTAACAAATGGTGTAATTGATTGAGAAAAGAAATCCGATACATTTTCTTGAATCATATCTATATCCATATCTTCTTCCTTTACATCCTCCATATTCTTTTTATTTAAAAAAAAATATAAATATAAATATAAATATAAATACGTATTATATATACTTACATGCATATATATGTAAAAAAAATATACATACATGAACTTCTTCATCTTCATCAGCATTATCATGTTGATTAAAAACAAAATCGGAAGGTTTCAATCCAAGTTTATTTTGAATATCAGTGTTAGCGCCCATTCTGGTCAATTTTTCAACTAATTCATTATTTCCTACTCTTGCAGCAATACATAATGCAGTATCACCATTTTTATCTTGAATGTTCAAAATAGTATTGAGAAATCCGCAAACATTTGATTGAAACCATTTCTCTAAACAATCCATATAATATTTTGATGCTACTGCATGCCCTCTAACGCCTGAAGACATTGCGATATGATGTAACACCGATCGATCATCTTTATCAGTAATTGGGATTGTGTCATGAAGTAGTTTTACCACTTGTGGAAATGACTGGGAATCATAATTATTTATCACAAATACAGATCTGATCAAAGCAGTCTCTCCGTCATAATTCACTTGTTGTAGACTAGCACCTTTCTTCAACAACATTTCCAAGATATTTACTCTTCCTAAACATGCAGCCCAATGTATCGCAGAATTCCCATGAATATCAATCACCATATTTATGTCAGGTTCAGATAAATTTTGAGGAACCAATAAGTCTAGTATTGATTCTGGTTCCTCATTCAAAAATATCGTCATTAAAATATTCCGGAGTCGTTCACTCTCATCAATTTCAGGTGGTGGTGAATTGGCTGCTGTTGCTGATTCACTAACAGGTTCTGAATATGTTAGAGCTGCCAAATCTTCTTCTTCTTCGTTATTATTCTCAACGGTGCCACTACTATTATTATTGTAAGTGTTAAGAATACTGATCTTAATATTATTATTGATATCATTATTATTATTGGAATGTTCATTAGATTGATTAGATTTAGCTTTTATGCGTAAAGCTGCCATGGCTTGTTCCTTAGTTGGAGTGTATGGAGATGATGAATAAGGAACATCATGTTTTGGTGGTATGTATTCAAGAATAGGGCGTAAAATTTCAAGAGCGCCATATTTTGTAGCAAGTTCTTTACCCTTTTCAAAAGGGATCCTGAAATAATAAACATTGATGATGGTGATGATGATGATGAAATCGATCATGTATATGATCAACCGTGCGAATAAAAAAGAATTTTATAATTTATAATTTATTCTTACCAAGTTCCTTGATATTTTCCATAACCTCCTTGTACTTTTTCATGTTCACCTGTTAATACTTCTCTCTCTATGATCTTTGTGCGTTTACCCTTATCCAGACCTGCCACTTTTAAAATTTGTGTTGCATTCAAATAAGAATCTGGACGTCTACGCATAACAGCAACATCTTTGACAAGAAACTCATAAACTGGTACACCGGAATATACCGCTGAATATATTGGATTTGGCTTTGGGGTTGAAACTGTAGTGTTTGATGGAGATTGTGTAGGTTCTGTTAATTGCTGACTGGTCGATGATCTAACATCACTACCACCATTATCAATAAATTTTTCAGTAGTATCAATAGTGTCTTTTAAGAAAAAAAAAATTACATAGTCTGTTAGAAAAACTTCATTTATTTCTTCTACTTTTATAAATTTTATAAACAAGTTCCATTTATAGAAAATACCTTGCATTGAAGAAAAGTTTTATTAATATTTTTTTTTCACTGGTGAAATTTTCTATAGGACAGGTAGGAGGTATAGTAAGAATTTATTTGTCCTACCCCAGGGTTTGATTTATCCCCTGCTAAACAGATTATTTGGTTTATAATATAAAAGGTCGTTTTGGTTCAACATAGTTAATCCATTTTTGAATAAATCTGTTGTTATAAGTAGCATGTACAGCAAGCAAGTACGCGATGAAGCGCATTCCAATATAAACGTTAATTAAATAGACTTCATGTGAGATATCATGTGAGATATTGTATAATACAATATTGTTGGTGTTGTTGTTGCCTCGTAATTCTGAATGTGGTATTGTTGGTTTAACCATTCCTCTATTCTCAAAGTAATAAACTAATTTTATTATGTTTTTGTTTGCATCAATTAATTAATCGTAATGGTGATAATTACTAACTTTTAAAACTTGCAACAACAGTTATTAAAACCCTGATTACAAAATTTCAGGTTTAAAATATATTGTGTAATATGTTTGGTTGTAAAACTACTTAAATATAAAGGTTTCGTAATAATTAAGATAATAATTAAACACCAATTTTGCATGTATTAATAGCGATTCATTAGTCAGTTCTGATGGAGTGTACCGATTACCTTTATTATTTCTGTATTAGCGACTTTTGGAAAGACTGTATTTGTAATAAACGATTTTAGATAAGATAGAATTTAATCTTATTAATCAACATCATCAGACAACAAGAAATCTATAAACTTCAATTTTAAAAAATTTTTTTTTTTAAATTGAAAATTTTAACGCTGGAGTGAGAAATGATAAACGATACATATTAATATGTATGAATGATCGATGTCATAAAAAATAAAGGATGATAATTACATTATGTATAAAAAATAATCATTAAAAAATTGAAAATTGATTGATTTATTAATATATTGTATATGTTATATTATATAATGCATCACTCGTTCATTGCCTTTAATTTTAGCCTCAATTACATTTAATCTTTAACTTTAAAGACCTAAATTTAACAATAAATTAGATCCACCACCACCATTTGCACCACTAGGTATATACATTATATTTCGCGAATTGGCCAATGTCGCAGCAATTTCTTTGGATGCTTCTATACGACGTAATTGTACCAATCCTTCACCGCCTTTATCTAGAGCTTTTATAATTTTATCTGCAGCTTCTGCTTCTCCTTCTGCACGAATAATAGCTGCTTGTTTTTCTTGTTCAGCCTAAAGCGTATATACATTTATTTATACATGAACTGAAATAAAAAAATAAAAATAAAATTTTAAAAATAAAAATATTATGACCTTTTCAACAATAAACTTCGCTCTTTCAGCATCTTGTTCTGCTATTTGTTTCTTTTCTACAGCTTGTGTAAATTCAGTGCTAAAAGTCATATGTGTCTTTTCAATAAAGTATAAAATTTTTTTTGGTAAGATAATATAAATGATAAAAGATAATACATAAAATGGCAGATAAAAAATGTGATAGAAAAAAATGATAAATATTTACAATAGAAACATCCTCCAACTCGATATTGAATTCTCTAGATCGCTTTACAAGATCTTCACGTATTTTTGAGGACACCTAAATTATAAAACAAAACATCAAAAATAACAATCATCATTCTCTTAATTAATACGCATTTTTAAATTATTATTAATTAATTAATTAAATTTACCACTTCACGCTGTGTGATTAATTCAATTGCGTCAAACTGTGCAACAACTGCCTTTAACACTTCATTACCAATTGATGGTAATACTCTTTCATCATAATCTAAACCCAAGGTTTGATAGATGTGAGGTAATTGTTGAATAACTGGTTTATGGAGTACACGTAAAGTCAAACTGACTGCTTGCATATCTTTTGAACCAGTTGCTGTTGCAATATTACGTGGTTTTGTACGAACGTCGTAAATTATGGCACGTTGTAACCATGGGACAAGAAAATGTGTCCCTTCACCAACTGATGTATCTTTAACTCCCTTAATACGATCAAATATCACTGCTCTTTGTCCTCCCCTAACTTCATTACAATATATATATATATATATATATAAGTATAAGTATAATTAAATTTGCATAAGTTTTCAGTTACATACCATCATATATGCTAAATTGTAACAAGCTTGCTGCAACACCAAGCGAAGCAGCAACTTTAGCAACTTTTTCAAGTATGGCGGCCATTTTTAAAAAATAATTTTGATTATCATCGTCGATCACAGAATCAAATTTTTTTTAAAACGTTCATTTTTTGATTGATGGATGATAATGATATTTTTTATAAAGAAACGCGACTAAAGTAATAATTTTGCTTTAAAACATTTAACTTACAATAAAGCTATGAAATTTTATTTCATTTTATATACAAATTGAATATAATATGAAACTAACTAAAAGATTATGTACATTTAATAATATTTCACAACACCTTTATGACAAGCGTAATAAGCTTAATAAAAATAATATTAAAGTTCACCAAACAAATAATAACAATAATAATTCATTGGTAGTTAAGAAATTAAGTAACGATTATAAGAGTTTTCAACATCAACAAAATCTATCTCTACAACAAAATCAACACCAACATCAACAACAATATCATCGTTATCTTCCTCATACCAGCACCACCAACATCACCACATCTAATTATAATAGATATAGAGAGGATAGTTTGTCGACAATGACTGATTATTTTTTAAGATCAGGAAATTTTCAGACATTATATCTTCACAAAAATAATATCAAAGAAATTTGGACGTATTATATGAAAATAAAAGTATCTAAATTAGTATATAAAATAGGACATATTTTTGAGATGAAGTTGTTGATATATTTGATCAAGAATAATGATTTAATCAAAGCTAGAATAGTGACAGAAACTTTAAAAAAAAAAAACGAAACTTGTTATTTTGAATGGTTGGACAATTATTTAAAAATAGTTAATAAATTGTTTAATAAAGATCTTTCAGGAGCAATAGAATTATTTAAAAAAATAATTTCAAATGGCAATCAAGAAGTAATACCTAATAAAATGCATTCTATTTTACTAACGGAACTTGTAAAAGCTAATAAGATCAACGATGCTGAAAATTTTTTAAAATTAATTTCATCCGTGAGGAAAATGCAATGTAAACGAGTATCAACACATTACTATAATATTTTAATGGCAGGTCATGTTAAAGAAAAGAAATTAGAAAATGCGCTTGAGATCTTACAACAAATGTCAAAAAACAATGTCAAACCTAATCGTTGCACATACAACATATTGATAAATTTTTGTGCAAAACTTTCCAAGGTTGACCTCGCAGAAAAGTTGTTTAGTAAAATGAAATCAGTAGATATACCACCAAATGTTTTAAGCTATTCAGGTATTATCGAGGCACATGGAAATGTGATGGATTTAGATTCATGTATAAAATATTTTAAACAGATGGAAGAAGCAAATGTACGACCAAACATATATACTTACTGTATACTGATTACTGCATATGCAAGAACAGGTAATTTTCAGGAGGCAGTGAAATGGTTTAGACATATGGTGATTTTATCAAGAATACAACCAAATCTAAAGAATATTACATCATTAATGGTTGCATTGACAAAAGATTTTAAGAATGATCCAGCACTGTTGGATAAAATTTTTGGATTGATTAGAAATGAGGGACTGCAATCAGATGTTGTAGCATACACGGCATTAATTAATGCCAAAGCAAAAGTTTTGGATTTAAAGGCGGCAATAATAGCATATCAACAAATGCTTGAGGAAAGCATAAAACCAAATATTTACACATATACAGTTCTTTTGGATGCAAGTGCCAAATTAGGAAATTTCAGTTCAACAATAAAATTTTTTAATGATATGAGAAAAGGAGATATTGAACCAAATCAGTACACATATTGTGTTATAATGAATGTTTATGCAAATAATAATCAGTTAGATAAGGCATTTGAAATCTTTGACCAGATGAGGACCAAAGGTATTAGCCCAGATACTACATGTATTAACTGTTTAATGGATGCATGTAATCGTTTGGGATATGTTGATAAAGTTTTCTATCTTTACTCAATTATGAAATCAGAACTCAATATTGAACCAGATAATTCAACCTTTACTATATTCATTGATTCGTGTTCATTCAACAACGAGGCTTACCACGGAATTAAATTTTTTCAGAATCTATTGAAGCAGAATCAAACATTAAATGTAAATAATTTTGGTAGTTTCATTAATTTATTGGGAAGACATGGATTTAGTAGGAATATTTTGAATGCTTTAAGACTAATGAAAAAATTGAGTATTAAACCAAGCAAATATAGAACTATTTTACCAGCATTAAATTATGTTTATTCGATTGGTTTAGTTGAAGATGCAAATGAAATAAAGAAACTTTTGATTGATTGGATTCCAACTGAAGAAATTCCTACTAATACTGAAATATTAGAATATATAAAATATAAATTACAATATCTAGCTAAAAAAGATGCAAACAAAATTAAACATTCATACAAATATTGAAGCAACTAATAAACTATTATTTAAAATCATTTAGATTATTTTATTAGAAATTATTATGTAGTATATAGATTAATACTGTACATATATATACATATTTATATTTATATTATACACACTTATTTAATAAAATTAATATAATATATTTCTAATTCTACTTAAAAGACGGACGTACTCAAATCTTGGGGTAGCCAATCAAAAAATCGAGGTCCTGTATTTATTTATGCGTAGATCATTATAAATTCCTTTTGTTTTATTACTTTTTTTTTTGAGAGGGTGAAAGATAAAAAGGGGGGAAAATGTTTAAATTTCAAAAAGGAGAAACAGTATTTTGTTATCATGGACCAACATATTATCCAGCTCAAGTACATAAACAAAACTGATAAATTTTGATTCATTTATTTTCAAATAATGATGATTAAAGCATTTTATTTTAATTTTAGATTCTTGATTCAAAAATAAATTTTATTGGAGATACAGTAGGTCCACAATATTTCATACATTATAAGGGATGGAATAAAAAGTAAATCGAAAATATCTGAAATTTTTTTTTTATTTTGATTTTTAAAAACTTTTTAATAAAATTTTAATGAACTTTTTTGATATTTTGAACAATATAAAAAAAAGATGGGATGAGTGGGTACCGGAAGGAAGGGTTTTTGAAATAACACAACAGAAAATCGATGAATTAAATAATAATAATATGATGATGAAAAATAAAAATATTTCGGCAGGATCAAGTTCATCATCTTCGTCAAGTTCATCATCATTATCATCATCATCATCATCTGCACCAAAAGGTTTTTCATTGGACCAAGTTCAAACTGATAATGAGAAGAGCAAAAAAAATGGATTGCCATTTGAAATAATTCAAGTTAATGGGAAATTCTTGGTTGATATTTCATTTATTTATTTGATTTTAGTTATTGATTATTTATTATTAACGTTAATAAATTTTTAAATTTATTTTGATCAGATGAAGACCAAAAAAAAGAAAATCGAAATAAATATGAGGGATGAAAGAATGGTAAAATTTGTAGATGAATGGAAGTGGATAACTAAAGATCTAATGGTATGTTTTTTGGGGGGAGAGAAATAATTATTATTTGATATTTATTTTATTCAAAAATGTAAATGTATATATATAGTTGGTATTTCCAATGCCATGTAAAAAGACAGTGAATTGTATCTTAGATGAATTTTTAGAGTATAAATTAGAAAAACTTGATGGTAATATATCACCAGACTCTAACGTAAAGAAAACAACACAAAAACATGAATTGACGGAGACAATTAATGGAATGAAAATATATTTCAACGAGGAACTTCCAATATCTCTGTTATATCGGTTTGAACGACAACAATACCTGGAACTCGTCGAGAAATATCTTGATCATCAACCAGCTTCTATTTACGGTGCAGAACATTTAATGAGATTAATAGGTAAACGCATGTAATAAAATATATTTAAACAAAACACTTATTTTTGGAGTATATTAAATACATAATAATAAGCAGTTTATGATTTTTGAACATTTTAGTATTGATACCAGATTTAGTAAATGATGTTCAGATGAATGAAGAAAAAGCACAACAGATTCAGATTTTGTTTCAGGAACTTTATGAGTGGGTTTTATTTTGGATTATATCAAATATAATGATGGATGTTATGGATGATAAATAATAAATAATACTAATTACCATTATTATTAATTAATACTAGTTTTATGGAGGATCATTGTAACGAATATTTTATCAAAAGGTATAGTTTTGCCTCGCCTGCTTATATCAGGGTAATATGGGAATATTAAACGAATTGGTAGAATATATATTATGGGGCATGTCAAAATTTTCAGGGACCAATGTTTTAATAATTAGTCACACAAAGTAACCCCAATGATGTATATATTTGTGGAATTATATATAATAATAATAATAATTTTCTCAAAAAGCAAAAAAGGCCAATAATTTACGCCCCATAATTTACTAAATGATATATATATAAGAAATAGAGAAATACCTTATATAATTCTTATTTACATATATTGCTTTAATTCTTTTTTCCCTTTTCTTTATATATAATACCTTACTCTTTTATTATTACATTTGTTAAAAATTTTTTTTAAATAATTTTATTATCTTCCTCAAATTTTTATTTACAAAAATGCCTAAAGCTAAATCTACCAAAAAATCTCCAACTGGTAAGTATTCGTTCATTTCTTCTCATTAGAATATATATATAAATATAATAGAATATATATATATAAATACACATTTACATTTGTTATAATTCAACAACGTGTCATTTCAAAAATTTATTATGAACTATTTCTTTATTAACAAAGAAAAACCTAACGTCCACGTTATTCCACGTTTTATTTTACCTCTTTCTTACTATTATTTTCCATTTTTCATATACCACGACTATTTACAACTTTAATATAAGATTATATATAAAGAAATGTTTTAAAAAAAAATTTTTTTTTTTTTTATAATTAATTAAAAAAATTTTTAATTTCTTACTATAAAATCTAATGCTCCCTCTCTATCCCTTATTCTTTCTTTATTTTTTTGACAATATATATATGACATTAATACTAATAACATATATATCTATATATACATATATATAAATCTCTACTATTTACTATTATATAAATATCCAACTAGGTGGCAAAAGAAAACTATCTCCATATAATGCATTTATGAAATCCGAACTTCCAAAAGTTAAAGCCGAAAACCCAAATCTTGAACATAAGGCAGCTTTCAAACTTGTTGCTGAACGATGGAAGAATAGTGCTGATAACCCAAAGGTATATATAAATATTGTATATTATTGGTGTGTGAGGAGTAATAATATATCTTTTTCTTCTAATGATTCTATTAACATGCTTATCATTTTAATTAATTAATAGAATCAAAAGGACGAGTAAAAAAAAGATGTATAAAAAATTTTTACTAATCAATTTTCTTTAATCACGAGAAAAGGCATCAAAGAGATGAAGAAAATATTAATTAAAATTAAAATTATTTTTCAATCTATCCTTACTATTATTATATATATAAAATTGGCCATATATTTTTTACATTATAATTATTTTCTAAATATCTTTTTTTTTCATTTCCATTTCTTAAATTTCTTCTCTTTCGCTTTTATTTTTCCTCTCTCACTCTCTCACTCTGTTATTTTTATTTGTTGTGGGTTCATTTCTAATTATAATTAATATATCTACATACATATATTATATTTTCTAATATTTATATTATATTATATTTACTTATTCTCTTTTGCTTTAGCCACAACAAATTTATATTATTTTTACACTTTATTATATATATATATATACACATATACATATTAAATATATGGAATAAAATTTACATTACGTCTTAATTTTTTTTTTGAATATAATATGTAAATAAAATAAAAAATAAATGTGGAAAATTTGAAAATTAGTTGATCAATTGATAAATTTTTTTTTTAATAATGTCGTCACCAACTAACGATAATAATTGTAAGACTGACAACAAAAATAAACATAATATAATGTAATAAATATCATATCATTATCATTTAATATTATTTTATATTTATATTTAGTAAATATAATTCCAAACGATGTAAAAGCATATAAAACTCAAGAATATTGGAATGAAAGATATTCAAAGTATATATATTTACTTAATTATCTGCTTGTTAATAATCCTTTAATTTTTTTTAAATTTTTTTTTGGGGGGGGGGCAAAATAAAAGAGAAGAAACATTCGATTGGTTTAAAACTTACAAAGATCTATCGCCTTTGTTTAAGAAACATTTACTTGATGAGAATGTTTCGATATTAATGCTAGGATGTGGAAATTCAAGTTTGTAAATATATTTTTTAATCCCATGCGTATTATTATTACTGATTATTATTAATTAATCACTTTTTATGATTAATTAATTACTAATTACTATATGTATAGCATTATCAGAAGATATGTATGATGATGGATATTGTAATATAACAAATGTTGATTTCTCGAATATTGTAATTGATAATATGAAAGAAAAAAATAAACATAGATCAAAGATGTCATGTAGGCCACTCATTGATTAGTTAGTTAATACATTCTTTTTTCAATCCGTAAATAAATAACTTGTGTGTAATTTATTAGGGTTGGTGATGGATGTTAGAGATTTAAAGATGTTAAAGGACGATGAGTCATTTGATGTTGTGATTGATAAAGGTACAATGGATGCGTTGATGTGCGATGAAGGTGATGTTTGGAATCCTAAACCTGAAGTAATTGAAAATGTTGGCAAAGAAGTGGATCAAGTTGTTAGGTAATTAACCACCGACCTATTAATCAATTTACTTGTTTATGGTTAATTGATTATTGGTAATTTTTATAAATATTGATTAGGGTATTGAAAAGTGGAGGAAAGGTAATTAATTATTGTTATTATTTGAAAACAACAAGAACAACAATAACAATCAATATATATTTTATATGTATACACACACGCACACAAATATATGAATAGTTTATATATATTACATTTGGACAACCACATTTTAGACGTAAATATTTGGAAAGATCAGTTTGGAATTTGGAAATTGAAACTTTGGGTATTATTATAATAATTAATTTTATTCGTTAATCATATAATTAACAATATTCATTTATATTTAGTAGGTGATTCGTTTCATTATTTTATATATATATTAACAAAAAAATGATATATATTTAACATAACATACTTGTACGTCATTAAAACAAAAAAAATTTCTGGGGGGGTTAAAAAAACCGTATTTATTTATTATTTAATTTAATTTTATTTGTTTTTTTTTTTTTTTTTTTAGAAGTATGATTTGGAAAAATTGAAAAATTGTATTATAAACTTTTTATATTTACATAAATATATTAAAAAAAGGAAAGAAAAGAAACAATACACATAATATACATATTATGCACACACCAGATTTATAATCTATGAGTGCGTGAATGTAAGTTATAAATGTCTAGAAATTTTTTAAAAAAATGTACATTTTTTTAAAAGGAGAAAATCCTTTTATATTTTTTTTTGATATCTAATTATTATTAATTATTATTGTTTTTTTTTTGGTTTAATAAAATAATAAAAATAAATTTAAAAACCAATTTTGAAAACCAAACCCCAAGGAATTATCCAATATAAAATTCTTAATGACAAGAAAAAAAAATCATAATGTACTAAAAATATATTACCTCCCCCACCTTTTATTAGAAACCAATATTGAAAAAACTTAATCAATTAATCATAAAGAAAAGAAGAGTCTGTCATATTTTGATTAAAAACAATCAAATTACCACCATCAATGTTTTTTGTAGGAGTTGAATGAATATTATTACTACTATTATTGTTACCACTACCACTATCACCGCTGGTATTGTTACTAATAGCAGTAGTATTAGCAGATCTGACCATCAAATTAAAATTTTCAAATATAGGTGAAGAGGTGACAGGTGAAGAAGTGGTAGTAGTAGAAAAATGTTCAGGCGTTGTAACGGTTGATTCTGGAGTTGTTGCTAATAAAGTTTCAGCGGGCGACAACAAAGGATTAGATGAAGACTTGATAAACATTAGACTATTATTATTAATGGTATTTGGTGAAGGTTGAAGAAAGAAATCTGGACGAATATTGCTTGGTTGCTGTGATATATAATTACCATTTTGATTAAAATATTGGTAAAAATTATCAGATGAGGTATTATTAATTATAGGAGAAGTAGTGGTAACAGCAGGAGTAATAAATGGTGAAGCATGTTGTAATATAATAGCAGTGGCAGCTGCTGTTGACGTTTGTGAAGATCTTGGTGTTGAAGGTGCTGAAGGATTTGTCATTGGTGGTGTTAAGATCAAATTATTACTATTATCATTAATATCACTGTTATTGATATCTTCTTTATCACTATTACTATTACTGTTACTGTTAATACTATTATTATTACCATCCTCACTTTCATCCATGTTATCATCTTCATCTTCATCTTCATCTTCATCGCCTTCATCATCTGATACTCCATTAACTGATACGGCTGCTTTAGCTGCTATAGAATCTCTTTCACTTTTAGCTTGTTTATTTCTAATCTGAACCCATCTTGTCCTACATTGGCGCTATATTATATATATGGGGAAGGAGAATGGTATATATTAATATTTAGATAATATAATTAAAAAAGAATCATGCACGCGTACAACGCATACAGTCAAACCTTGTCACAGCGGATGAACGAGACACAAGAAATTTTTATGTGTTTTTATATGTGAAGCAAAATTTTAAAAATCAGTTATGACAAAAATTTAATTATAGTCCGCTGTGGCGAGGTCCGCTATGACTGTATGTATTAAATATATACCTGAGTTCTGCCATCGATCAATTCAGCAATACGAATCCAGCATCTACCATAACGTCTGACACCATCTTTTAAAATTTCATCTTCATCCGGTGACCATTTACCTTTTCTAACTGATGGATCCAATGCTTCCGACCAACGAGCCTGACACTGAATACCAGTTCGATGTGGAATACGTTGTGCTATTTTGTTCCAGGGTATAGGTTGTGGGTGGCCATCTGAATCCAATAAATTCAAATACTCGCCAACTGCCTCTTTCAGCAATGAATCTTCTTCTGGAGTCCAACGGCCTTTATGGATTGTTGGGTTAAGAGCACCTAACCATCTTGTTGAACATTGCATCGGCGTTCTGTTTGGAACGTGAGCTGCTATCAATGACCATTTATGAGGCCCATAGATGTTGATTGCTGCTTTTAGTAGTTCGTCTTCTTCTTCTGTCCATTTTGTGTAAACTGGTGGCTTTTGGTTACCAAGATGATGATTTTGTAATGACGATGATGATGATGATGATGATGCTGGTGGATGACTGTTGTTGTTACTGTTGCTGTTGTTGTTGCTGCTGTTACCGCTGCTGTTGATAGTAGGATTAGTTGTAGTATTGAAATTGATATTTGGATGATGTTGATGAATATTATTATTGATGCTATTATTATAACTGTTATTGTTGTTAAAGGTTATTATTGATGTGGAAGGAGGATGAAGAATAGAACTGATGTTGGCGGAATTATTATTGATATTATTTTTGCTACTGATTGACGCTAAATTAATTGTTGTCGATAATGGAGGAGATAATAATGATGATTGTGATGGTGATGAATTATTTATGAAATTTGTCGATCTTGATGATGTCGGTGATGTGTGACATGTACTACCAGCTACTGTTGTTGGAGGGCAATGGTAACCACTTTCATATAATGAAAGAGGTGCATAAGAAGTTTGATTAGATCGCCTACCAATACTACTACTAATATTACTATTGTTGTTGTTGTTGTTGTTGTTGTTGTTGTTGTTGTTGCTGTTGTTGTTGTTGTTACTTATAATATTATTATTGTTGTTATAAAAACCAAAATTTTGTAGTGCATTAGATGATGTATCAACATATGAAAATAAAGATGAATATTGTTGATTACTATTATTATTGGTAAGATTTGCGTTTATTGTTGACGAAGATGAAAACGATGTCGGTGATGTCAGTAGTAGTGTTGGGCTATTATTATTACTACTAGTAGTAGTACTAGCAACGGTAGCGACAATAGAAGCGGTATTATTATTGGATGCGGAAGGAAAATTATTGTTGACCAAAACAGTATTACACGGAAATGTTAAATTTTGATTGTAAAAGTCGCCATTATTAAAATCATTAAATATGATATTCGAAGGTGGAGTTGCCTTTCGATTGGAATTGGAATTAAATTAACGAGGATTTCCTTTAAAGAATTTATTCTATTTACAAAAAAAAAATCTTTAATATTTACCTTCCAATCATCATCGAAATTATTTGTTGATTGATCAGACTAAACAAATTAAACAAATAAAACAACAAATAAATAAATGGTAAAGAAATGAGAATTATTAGTATGTAGATGGAATATCACTCACATATGATTTGTGATTTTGTTGAGACAAAGGATCAAAATTTTTGGTGGTGTCGATAAATATCTATGGAAAATATCATTAACATGATAGAAAAAATTAGAATGTGAATGCTTATAAATAAATAAGTAAGTTTATTTAATGTTATTTATTACCTGATTATAAATAGAACTCGTAGTAGTACCTTCAATCTAATATAATTCGTTCGTTGTAATAATAAATGGTTGGTTATATTAATATATTATTTCCGTTATATTTAATAAAGAAATAATTATTTATCCAAATGAGCCAAGCAATATATTTAGTAATAATGACTAATTGACTAATTGAAACCCTTCAATAATAATAAATAAATTATACTTACGTCATATAATGAAGTTGGCGAGGATTGTTGTTGTTGCAGTTGTTGTTGGTGGTTAGTAGCACTAGCAGTGTTGGTAGAATTAGCGTTAACATCCAAATAGTACATGTTGATAATTGGATTATCAATACCAAGCAATTGAAGTGTCGAAGGCGATGTTGATGCTGATGCTGATACCGATGAAGCAGAGGCGGAAGTATTATTATTGTTATTACTATTATTACTATCGTTATTATTATTATTATTATTTAGACTTGATTTAGAGCTTGAGGATGATGAAATAGTAGGTGTGGATGGTGTTATTGTTGTGACTGTTGGTGAAGAATTTGAAGATGAAATATTATTGTTAACAGGATGATTTTTATTATCAGTGGTCATGTGATTTTTGTGATCGTCATCATCAGTGACCATAATATCGTTATGATTTATTTTGCCATCATCACCATTAGAGTTTATTTCTTCTCTAAATAAATTATTTATTTCTACTTTTACTTCTATTTCTTGTGCTGATACTGTAGTTGTATTTAGTACACAATTCATTAATTCTTCATCTTCCTCTTTATTCGACGACGCGTTTTTCAAAAATTTTGATTCGTTATTGTAATTATTAGAATTAGAATTAGAGTTCGAGTCATTATTATTAGCAACAACAGTAAAGTTGTTGCTTATGTTGTTAGAAATCATATTGTTATTATTATTGATAATATTATTAGAAGTAAAGCTTAGAGGAGTATTATTTTGAGAAAAATATTGAAATGTTGTCGGTGTCAAAGCAGTAGGTTTTTGATGATTTACGTGATTCATTTCTATTATTATTGTTGTTGTTGTTAGATAAAAGAATTTTTTTATAAGTTAGTTTTATTTTTTATTTATAGAGAAAGCAAAAAAAAAAAAAAAAAAAAAATTTAGTCGGTTGATTGGGATACGGAGCCAAGAAAAAAAAGGGGGGTATTGGAAATTAAAATAAATAAAATCCATTGTTTGACAATTAAGTGAAAAAATAGTGAAAAGGATTAAATTGAGGAAATTAATTGATCATATAATAGTAATCAAGGAATCAATAACAAAATGGATTGCCCGAGTGGAAGTAAATGAGCGAATGAATTATAGAATGGTGACGACGAAATTAGAGAGCGAGAAATAATTAAAGAGGTAATTAAAAAAAAAAGATCATATAATATTAATACTAATAATATTAATAGTAATACTGTTATTATAATTTACAGTAATATTATTAATTTACCTTGAAAAGCAGAATTTTGATCGAATTCTTGTTGGTTATTATTATTGTAAGACATTTTATTTATTATTTATAATAAATTTTTACTAATTAATTACTTAAAAAAATTCCAACAAAAAAATTAAAAAAGAATTGGGTGGATTTATATTGTTCTCTGGTTGATGGGTTAAGGTGATTTGTGAAATAAAAGGAATTTTTTATTTATAAATTTTTTTTTTATTTTTAATATTTATTTTTATTTTTAGGAAATAATCTTTTTTATTGTCAATTGGGATTGTGTGGTGTGTTGATATCGATGATGATAGAAAAGACGTGCCGGTAGTATGTTGATGCTGATTGATGATGATGATGATAGTTTTTTGTAGGAATGCGGTAACTGTATTAAGTGGTATCTATCCATATACAATAAAATATATAATATAATGTATAAATAAATAAATTAAAATTGGTAAGTGATTTCATTATATAAACAATAAATATTTATTATATTATTATTATTATTATTATTATTATTATTATTATTATTATTATTATTATTAGAATCAGAATATATTATTATTTTTAGAATAAAATAAAGTGATGATGATACTGATAATGATGGATTAATGTAAAAGGTAGGGAAGAAAGGAGGAGTGAGAGTGAGGGAGAATGAGAAGAAACAGTAAAATATTTTACATTTCAACCATTTTCAATCACTTCCAATCACTTCCAATCTGTTCAAAATAAAAAATAAAAAAAACCATTTGTATATTACTTACACACAGACCAAGAAAATTATATAAAAGTAAATATAGATCAACACAGTTAGATGATGATTAGAATGGGAGGAGGCTTTGATGATTTAAAATGATTTTTTGAAGATTTTTTTTTAGAAAAAAAGGATTGGATGGATATTTTTTGAATATAATATAAGAGTATTTTTTTATTTGTTTTTTGTTATTGATTTATATTATGCAAGAATGAAAGAAATATAAAGTTCTAGAAATTAAATATATATATATATATATATATATATATATATATATATATAAAGGTGTATGTATATTATAATAGGTCCGAGAAAATGTAAATTTGTGAAGTTATTATTATATGATATATATTATGATTAAGGATTTTATTTATATTATTAATTAATTATATTATTATTAATGAACTTTGATCAAAAAACTTTTTTTAAAGAAAAATTAATTTACACAAAGAAAATACTTAAAGGGATAGAGAATAAAGAATTGTTGAATCAAACAAATTGATTTTGATGATCGATGTGATTGTTGATAATAAAATGATGTTGGTGGCGGTGATGTGAAAGTGTGCGTGCGTACGTGCGTGTTTGTGTATTGTGTGTGTGATAAACGTGTGATTGTCTAATGAACGACACTAATCAATTAGAGAGTGTGTGTTGGTTAATATGAAATGATAGTTGTTGTATTTGAGAGATTATTAATATAAGAAGAAAGTGATGTTTTAAAAAATTAATTTTTTAATTTTTTAATCGTTAAAATATTATAATAGTAAACAACAATAGAATATATATAAAATCATTAAAAAATCAAGATTTGATTTTAGAAAACAAAAAAATCAGGAACAAGCATTAAAACAAACAAAAGAAAAAAAAATCATGGAAATTTTTTTTATTTGTTTTAAATAATTTGAACAGAGAATGATTTGGTTAGGTTTTTATAAGTTTTTTTTGATAAATATATAAAAAAAAATTTTTTTTTTAAAATATTTTAAATTGGGGTATCAATAAAAAATGGCAAAATAAAGAGGGTATATGTGATAAATTTGGATAAGTGCATATATATATATATCACAGCGCAATTACGTGACGTCTATCAAATAATTACTTTACTATCAATTTATTCACAGGTAATCTTTTGTATGAAATATAATGGATAAATAAATAATAAACTGGTTTTCTTTTATCCTTTCTCTTCTCAGTTTCGCCATAAAAAACAGTGTTATGCACAGTGGCCATGTAAATATTGATTAATTTTGATTTTGAGGATCAAAAATAAGTAATCAAATACTTTAAAATAAAGACATTTAAAACCGGTTAACTTATTATTAATGCTAGTTAAAAAAAAATTTTTAATTTATTAAATTACATGATATAAAAATTAACCTATACTACTTAAATATCACTAAAGTTTGTTTTTTGTTTTTTTTTTTTAGAACAAAAACGGGTTTTTCATCGAAATAGTTTGATTTCGATTTCGATTTTGATGAATTACGATTTTGATCCAAGTTTTGCGTTTTTCGAAAGTTTCGGATTTTCTTCCCCTTGAAACTTCACGGCAGCCAGTATTATGATGCCATAATCATTGATTGGATAATAACAAATATTTGTTTTGTATACGGATAATAAGTTATTTCTAAATTTATACAATTAAAATATATTAAATATTTTTTTTGTTTGTTGATATCTGAAGTCGGAACCATTAAATCAATAGCGGAAAAATGTCAAATTTATTATAATCAATGAAATAAATGAGAATATCAATAATAAACAAACTGGGTTAGTGTACTATCGGAAAATCGTCAAATGTATATATTTATACATATTAATATTTTATCATATAAGTAGCCTACTGCAGTGTTACATGTCAAACAAAATCTTGTTAACAATGAATTTAAAAATTAGCGTATTAATATTTAGTATAAGAAATGTCTAATTAATAGATTTTCTACACATTCCTACCACACCATATATAATTTACAAGTTAGCATTGGCATCTTTTTGGATTTATTTCACATACAAAATTAAATAAAAACTTTTATTAGTTGGATGATGATGATGATGGATAGATGGACGGATTAATATCAATCCACACACACACATTGTTATGATGCTCATAATGAAAATCACAATTTCATAATTTTCTCTTTGACTTATATTGTTTCGTTCCTATTATTTATTCTATTCGAATGGCAAGAGATTCCCATAAATTTATTCATTCATTCATTAACTTTCATTCAACGCTTATTAATTCGTTCGTCAACTCTTCGCTTTATTATTATTATTGTTGTTGTTGTTGTTATTATTAGCCCATTCATTAGCATTTAATGTGTTATGTGATACATAGGCACGTGCATATTCTTATTAGAATGCATATCTGTGGGTGGGTATAAAATGAATGAATGTTGTATGAATAATAAGTAATTAGCATTTGGTTAGCCAAAAAAAGAATATAAAAAACATTATTTATATAAATTTAGAGATCTACAAACAAACAATCTAACCGGCCAATCAAACAAGAATTTCTTTATAAATACACACAATGATTATCTAATTTCACCGTCAAAAAAAGATTTTTGAAGAAAAAAAACCCCCCATTTTTTGGAAATTATTTATAATAATAATAAATAATGATAATAATAATAATAATTTGTCAGCAAACAAACCGATGGAACTCTTAAATTTTGTTTGATAAGGGAAGAGAGAGAATAGGCGAGTGAACGGTTTCCCCAGTTGAAAAATTTCTAAAAACAAATTTAATATTTGAAAATTAAAATAAATAAATGAATAAATAAATAAATAAATAAATAAAAATTATTTTTAAAGTTTTATTTATTTATTTGGTAATGACCCTATCCTTTCATTCTTCGCATCGCACCCAATTATCACGGAAATTAATGTTTCCTGCAAGCAACCATCATCATTATTATTCTTTTCCTTCTTCTATTATTTGTTATTCTTCTTCCTTCGTCCACACACACACACATACATTACCAGTTTACCATAAAGTGCATTACCAATGGGCGTTTTTTTGAGATTCCCAATAAATCTTTTTTTGGTTATTATGAGTAATAGTGATCGGTGGGATCGTCCCCATTAATTGATCAAATCAATCAAATCAATCGAATCTATTCTGGTTTTTATTACATTCACAAATCAAATGCCACTGCAGGCACATGGCGAATATTCGAACCTTTCCTTATAAAGAGACTAAAAACGAGTTTTAAATCCACCCATACCTGATGCTATTGTAGAATAAAAATCACGTGAAAATTCAAATAATCACATTGGCTTTAAAAAAAAATTACACCGTTTAGATTTTTCCGTCTTGTGTATATTAAAAACTTTATACTTATTCGAATTAGTTATTCGGCACAATTATGCATCGAATTCATATTAAGCCAAGTAAGTGGCTATGTTCCTTGTCGCAATTGTGCTATCCATCCAGTCATGCGTCTGGGAATTTTTACTACGAGCTCAACTGTTATTGCTTAGTAACCACCAATAAGCATTTTTCGTACGTGTAACAACAAATTTATTCTTCAAAGCGATAACTGGAAAGAAAAAATTTATTATTGTAAGACTTAAACTTTTGCATGTGAATTTTAAAGTCACTTTTTTCTCTATAAAACAAAGATAATCTAAAACCTTAATTTGGTCCATAATAAAAAGTAAGTACATACGCTCACATACATTTTCAATATTTTTTATAAAATTTGTTATTGTCATTTTAGGTTATCTTTAAAAATACAATAATCATTGGGAAAATTTCATTTTAATTATTTCCACAAAAAAAAAAAAACCAAAATTATGACCAACCAGATTTGTTATTGGCGTTTAATGCTTTTTGGTGCGGACACCCGACATTCTAGTTTTTGCACATACCCTGCATTGGATCGTCAGTAACTTTTTTTTCTTTTAATTTTTTCATCAATAATGAATCAGAGATTACTATTTAATTATTCATTTATTTATATATATAGTGTGATCGATAAATAGGATGAATGATGACGTATTAAGGTATTTATGAAGTAACAAAATTGGATGACTTAATTTGGAAGTTTAAATATGTGGTGGTAAATTTTTTTAATATTATTATGACTATGGTCTTGGTAATTCATTCATCAATTCGTCCATTTATCCATTCACTCACTCATTCGTTCATTCATTCATTCGTTCGTTCATTCATTCATTATTGAAAGCAAACTATTTGGTCATGGTTGTGTTACTTGATTATATACACAAGAATAAAATATATTCCTAGATCTTATTTCGTATGAGAGGAATGGGGAGAGATAGAGTGTGTGTGGATATGATAATTATTACAGATGATAATGATTATGAAGTGGGTTTGGTAATGATAATATGAATTAAATAATTGAACTTTAATGTTTATATTTTTGACAACTCCTCTGATAGTGAAGAAGAAGAAGAAGACAAGATGCTAATGATTCAACTTCGAATCCGTATTCAGAAGACCTTTGATACTTGGGCTAAATAAAAAAAAATTAAATTTTTACTGTGATAATAATAAATGTGATAAAATATATTATGTTAGATCTTTTAAAACAAAGAAAATAAAGTAAAATGTCATTATCAAATATAGTTCAATAAAATTTAAGCAAACAGAAAAAATTGCGTTGACATTTAGAGAATACGTGTTTTAAAGCTTATGCTGAACATCATATATCGACGATTTTCGTGTTTTTGATGAATTAAAAACTGATTGTTTGAATTTGGAAGTTTATCAGAATGGACTTTATCGCTTATTAAAGTGATTTATATTACAAGTATTTTGAAAATGTACAAGTAGTAATATCAGTCAGTCAGTTTATTCATTTTACTGATTAAAATTAATTGATTTTTTTTTTATAGATATCACGGACGACTTCATATTTATAGGACCTGAATTTCCAATTGATGTAAGATTTTGAAATTCAGGATCTTATTAAATAAAAAAAATATTTATAAATTAATTAATAGGCAGGCATAGATGTTCAGTCTTTTCAAATAGTGATGATAAAATCAAGTATAAATTTTATTATTATTATCTTAAAGCTTCGCATAGAAATTTTTTATTATGAAAAAGCTTGTGTATTATTCAATGTAGCAGCCATGTACAATTAATTTGGATTTTCGGAAAATAGATGAAGGTGTTAAAAGAGCATGTTAATACTCCAAGTAAATAATTGTTAAACAATTATTTCGTTTCATATGTATGTATATATTTATATATTTGTTATTTAGCACAATAGCTGGATGCTTCCAATATTAGAATAAAAGGTCATTTATAGTAATTTGCAGTGAATTAGTTGGAGACGATTTATCGAGGATTGTAATCAATTATTAATCTATATTAATATATTAAAAGATAAAATGAAGGATGGAATTATAGAAAAGTTGGTAAAGTCAAGTATCTCATTTTATTTGCGAAGTCACTAAATTATTAGAACAAATAAAATAATATTTATTATAATTAGTATATTTCCTTAATAGTTAAATATATACATAACTTATTATGAAGAAGAAATTCCAAGATTATATGCAGCGGATGGACATATTAAACGTTGATTAGAAAATAAAAGGCTTTATATATTTTTGTTGGAATGTGGTTTCTACACACAATCAATCTATAAATAGTTCCAAAAAGCCTCCTCGTTACACCAGAAGATCCAGTTTATATAACAGTCAATAATTATCACATAACTTTTAAAAGCTTATAACTCTTTATTAAAAAAGAAAAAAGTAAACCAATAGAATTAAAAAACTAAAGACCTAAGCTTCATTTCCATCGGTTTATTTTTTCACTTTATTAAAAAAGTTTTGAGTTATAAGGCTTCAAAGTTAAGCCATTTTATATATGTCTATGATAAAATTTTGGAATTATCTTCCCTTGTGATTTCCTAAAGGCTGGTGATCGGCTTAAAAACAGAAAAATCTTTCCAATAAAAGAGATCTGATTACTTAAACTATAAAGATCTTCTAAAATTTTAAATTTCGGACTTGTGATATTTATAGATGACTTTGAACCATATGATGTGCGAGAAATCCCATATTAGGATTTCCATTATTTGCGAAGCTTGCTCCATTTGCAGTTCTCAGTGTTTATTCAAATCGAAAAGATAAATTATGTAAAGCCATTCTGACAACATTGTTTGATTTAAATAATATTTCTACAAGGTATTTTATAGTTTTTTTTGGATTGTTGATATTATATAATATGCTGATGGAAATTTTGAATTTTTGTTAATTTATTATATTGACCAATGTGTTGAGTTCACTTAATCTTCCTAGTTTAATAGACAATATAAATTCTGAAGAGTTGAATGAACCGCTACCATCATTATTGTTAAAAGCACAAAAAGTTCGTAAATGAAAGTGGCACTGTTAGATTGAACGAATTCTACGATCTTTCTAATCATTGTAATGAGTTATTGGATAAGGTAAATAATGATATTTAATTCTTAATATTTTAAAATCAAATGTCAAGGATATTATTGATTTGGTAGGCATTTCCAGTGTTGGATCAAAATCTCAAAAAGTGAATAAAGATCATTGTAAAATGTTAAATGAATTAGTCAGAACATATTAGCTTTTGACGATATAATTATTTATCATATGTTGTATGTGGAATATATAGTCTATATGAACTTGAAATTCACATGTGTGAAAATGAAATTGGCCAATTAAAAGGAATTTCGTTTCGCACTCAAAAATCCTATATTTGATTGGTTAATTTTACGTACAACAGAAACATATATAGAGACCTCCTAAAATTTTAAAAGTATAGAAGTCACTTTCTGTCCTACCTTTTTAAAAAATAGCTCTATTAGTTGATGTAATATGTCTTTAGTTTTAATGGTAATAGAGAGATTTTCTCAAAAAATTATTTGTTGTAGAGTTCTATTCTTTTTTGAAACATGTACTTTACTATGCTTGCGAGGAATTTGTCCACTATGATCATTTCTAAATTTAGGAAAATTATTACTAAATTTAAGAGAATTGCTATTTCTCACCGGTGGTGATTGTCACCACCTAAGGAATTAAATTTGCGTGGGGCGGAGTTAGGGTTGGGGTTAATCATAAATTGTATAATTCCTTAGGTAGTGAATCACCACCGGTGAGAAATAGCAATTCCCTAAATTTAAAACCAAAATCATGTGAAGTCCTATTTTTTGAACGAATTACAAAATTGCTATTTTTTTTTTTGAAATTTGGCCGCATGGCGCAGCAATAGGAGGTCTTTAGACCTAGCCAAAAATTTTTTGTGGAAATTTGAAATGTTTACACTAATTTTTTATATTGCGCAATGTAGCTTTACCATACATGGCAAACACTCTGGCAATAAAAAAGTAAGTGATAAACTGGATTTGAACTTGATCTCCAATTTAGAGAGGTAACGACTATATACTGACAAAGTTTCAGGAGCAATGGGTTCTATATAACATTCCGTGTAACAACAAACTTCAACTATGCCTTTTTGTAGTATATAAATTATAATAGGGATCAAATTTAAAAATTTTACAAATGTAACAATCATTAATAGGTCAATTAATTTTTTCTTCATTCAAAAAATAAAACTAATACTTTATATATAATAAATCTTTATATTAAAAAAAAAACATTAAAATATTATAAATTATAAAAAAATCAATGAATTATTATAATCAGTTGGCCAGTTAAATCAATTGATTGGCAAAATTTAATTTCATTACAGTGAACAGTTTCAAAATTTTTATGTTTGTATATATTATGGGTCAAATTATGTTCTTTTTCTAATGTTATTGCAAACATTAAGGTTAAGTTATATATTAAACTTAAATTTGGTCTGGATCAATCATATAACAAACAGGAATTTTTGTTACTGACCTATCTATGAAGTTTGCGGGGCCCTGTTTGACACTGTGATTGGCTTATTGGAGACAATCTTTCCAAATTTGGTAATTTTCACCAACATCGCTCGCTATCTATATAGTTTGCCATGCTATTAATATTAACGTTAATTTCTTTCATGCAAAATAATAGTAATAGCATTATCATTAATGGCAATGAAAAAATTTTCACGCACACATAACTATAGAGTCGGGAAGGCGATCATTCCTGCATATTGTGCATTACATCTTGGCGGAATTTTATGCAATTTGTTTATTATTATTATTATTATTATTATTATTATTATTATTATTATTATTATTATTATTATTATTATTATTATTATTATTATGTAATTAGTATTGTTTAAGGTATTATTATTTTTTTAAGAAAGATAATGGTTAAGGAATTGTTACGCGACTATAGTTACGCAGCTATAAAAAAAAAAAAATAAAATAAAAGACAATCAATTTATAAATGAATCCCAAAATTTTTTTGAATTTTTAATTCCAATTATAAAAAAATGGTGTAACACGCCAACTTTGAGGTTAACATACACAGATAACAATAAACTCAGATATTTATTTATATTATCAAGTACAATTGATTGGGGGACCGAGTTATAGAGTTTACCTGTGTAGTAAAACGTGACACATCAAAAAATGAAGTCGTGAGAAAGGTCTTACGGTGCAAATCATCTATTTACTTAATATATAATCAATTAATTGCTTATATGGCAGCTTCAATGTAAAACAATATCATTTTTATATCGTTTTAAAAAAGTTAACTCATAAATTTTATTGTTCATGACTCAAACTTCAAAAAGTATCGGCTAATTTTTTTTTTTAAATTCAATTCAAAAATTTATTCATTATTTACACTTAAAATTGAGACCAAAGTAATTTATTTTTTTCATTTTTTTTTTTTTAAATTGCTGATCCGTGCGTGAATGAGTCAGAGAGCACTCAAATTTGTAAAGCCTACATAAAAAGTTTTTTATTCGTCACATTAAACTATGTTAATTTTTACTTTATTTATAAGTACAACTTTTTGTGTAAAGGTTGACAATTGGTTATTTTTTATGAGATTTTACCCCAAAATTTATTATTAAAAATATTAAAAATGCAGAATTCATTCACCGAGTTCATTCATGTACCACCACCAATTAACAGATAATAGATAAAGTTACAAAAAAAAAACTTTTAACGAATTTAACATTAAAAGAAATCCTTATCAATTTTGGTCAGGACCCCGAAAACTATATAAATTAGGGTCAAAAATTTTACTATTAAAAAATGCAAAATTAGCAAATTTGGAGATTTTCTCCAATAAGCCAATCACAGTATGGGTCAAACCTATATCAAACCGTTGATTTTTGTGTGGTCATTCACTCGTCTGCCAAAAGTATCCAGATACTTTTTTGGCAGGCGAGTGTATTATTGAATTTACTACTATCAGCCATATATACATATTTATATAACATTTTTGATTATTTTTATTTATAATAATAATGATTTTAATGTGTTTTTATGAATACATTTTATGTAATTAATTAACAATCTAAACTCAATATACTTCAAATCTAAAACATTTGAAATAAAAAGTAGAATAGTAATAAATATTGATATAATTGTGGGATTTGGATCAGTGTTGGAAATTTTGTCCAATTGGACATTTGGACCTCCATATGGAAATCCATATGGACAATGTCCACATTGTCCAGATAATTTTAGCCAAATGTCCAATTGGACATAATAATAAAGTGTTATTTTTTATATTTATTTGCATCAATTGTAAATTTTTTAATAATATTATATTAATATATTAATTTAACAAAATATTAACTGGTGCATTCAAAAATACACAACACATATTTAAAATAAAATTTTTAATAAAAGAATGAAAATGCAAAAAAAAAAAATCTAATACCAATTAATCTGTATGACCTGTAAAAAGAGTTAAATGAATATACATTGTGAATCAATCAATTCAAGATATTGAAGATGAAGAATCAAGTTCAGGACCTCAAAATATAAAATTGTAAGTTTTATCTTGCTTAATAATTATATTTATATCAATAAAAAATATTACTACCATTATATTGATTATTTTCATTTCCAGGAAAAAGAATTTTCTCTTGTTCATGTTCAGTATATTGTTCCTTGAAGATTGTACAATATTTTAAGTGAGAAGTTACCAATTTTTTAGTATTTGTTAATTTAGTTTTACAAAAATGACAAAGTGCATAATGATTAGATTTACTGTGATATATTCAGTGAGAGAATGTTTTATGAGTGGCATTTAAAAAAATTAAACTTTTAAAAATTCTTTTTGTGAAACCGGCGATGGTCCATTTGGTCTATATCCAATTGGACCTGGTCTAATTGGACATATGTCCAGACATGAATTGGACCAGGTCCAATTCCAACACTGATTTGGATTATTATGGATTATATAGACCTCCAAATATTACCAAAATCGCATAGATCTTTCTACTTGCCTTATAAAAAATAACATACGGGAGAACCGTACATTTTTCCGTACCTATTCCGTAAAACAATACGATTCATGTACTGTTTTCCCGTACATTTCTCGTATATTTTCAGTCAATAATTAATTCATAGGGTTGTTGGTAATAAATCTGTACCAAAAATTTGGGTAGATCTCCATGTTCTAGGTAGTGTTTCAGATCATTAATCAGATGATTTTCGGCAATGGATGGAATTTCGAAAAATTATATCAAATAGTTATAAGTTAGGGTGTCCAGGATCATGCTTTTTTTTTTGCAAATTATGCTTTTTTTTCTTCCAAATTATGCCCTGATGCTTTTTTTTTTTTCTAGAATTATGCTTTATGCTTTTTTTTTCATAATTTTTGGGCAAATTTATAATAATAAATATAAAATTTTTTTATTTATTATTCATCAGAAAAATTAAAATATATGAAATTTAATTTTTTAATCGAATCTTCTTTTAAAGTTGTGCATTTATCAGTTAATATACTTTATAAATTGAAAAAGATCTTTCAACGTCAACAACGGTCACAGGAAGTTTCATCAACAGTTATACTAATCATTTTATTTTTTATTAAAATTTTTCAAATTCATAACTCATTGGCAAATATTTTTCTCGAAGTGATTTGAACCTACAATATAACCTCCTAGGAAATAATAAAAATAAAAAATAAATGATAATTTACATTAAAATATTCAAATTAATTTATTTTAATTTTTTTTGATATGAAAATTTTCTTACCATTGTTACAATATGAATTAAAAAAAGACTTTAATTTATCTATTTTATCCAGAGAAATATCAGCTTTAGTAAATGCTTCAATAATTGCAATATTGATTTGTCACAATTATTATTAGTGAAAGAAAGCAAAGAGCTTTGTAAAGATTGCGGATTATTTTTATGTTTTTGTTCAGCAGCTTTATGTTTCATTGATTCTATATGGTTATCAACAATTGATTTTTTTTCATGATTTATAGTATGGTTACAAAACGACAGTATAATTTCCCAGTTTCAACGTAAAAATGATTATTATAATGACTTTTTTCCTCAAACGTTCTAATGCAGAAACCACCCACCATTTTTCATTCTATAATTCTATAATAATCATCGATCACTTACATAAAAGTAAATTATACACGTAGATTATATGATTATGGTCAATTCTGCACTTCTTAATATTAATATTCTTGAGCATAATCGCGCAGCGATTTATGCGAAAGCATAATCCTGGACACCCTATTATAAGTATTTCGAATAACTACCCTTACATGAATTCAGATATTTTACAACAAATAAAAGTTTTATAATATCACTCTGGGTGTTGCGTGTACTTTAAAAGCCTTCTCCAATAAAATTTTATCATGGAGTATAAAATTCTTCATATCGTATGATTTTTTATTCCAAAATTTCAATGATGCGAGTCGGTACTTTAAGTGATGCCTTATGTTTATCTTCAAAAACCTGTATTTTAAATGTTTTGTTGAAACAAGTATTTACGGTTTCTTAAAGTATAAAAAATTTTCTTAAAATGCGCTTTTTTCATATTAATGAAAAAACTCCTATCTCCTATAAAAAAAATAAAAGAGATGATTTACATATATAATAAGTCTTCTATTTAAAAATCAAAAAAAAAAAAATAAGAGTTAGTAAATTTTCCTGTTCGTTTAAGGGATAGGTGTTTCGAATAACCACAAGTATTTCAAATATAGTATTAATAACCATAAGTATTTCAAATAACCATAAGTATTTCGAATAACCACAAATATTTCAAATAGTCAGAAGTACAGTATTTCAAATAACCATAAGTATTTTGAATAACTATAACAATAAGTATTTCAGATATTCGAATAATTATTCGAATATCAAGTGATAATAATAATTATTATGAATATTCGAATGTCATTTTTGTTTTTGATCAGAAACCCTAATTCTAGGCTACCTATTATATTCACGTTACTCTAGATAATAATATATTAATATATAATTTTGGACTTCTACTCGGACCTAAAGGGAAACTTTGAGAGATGAAATTATAAAAAATAATAAAGATCTCATTCTTGGTGATACTAATGAACTTTGGAACAAATGTTTATAGTTTTTACACTGGTATTATCGATAAGTAATGGTAGAGTAGCCATGTGATTTTATATAATGGTCGGCGAGGATAAATAATTCTCAAACCTCTTTTAAATCACTTGCCAACTAGTTTTCGTGAGACGAAAATTAACACAAAATCCATTTTTCTGCCATAAAAAATTTTTTTGTTGTTGTTGGAAGCAGGGCTGGAAATAATATATACTTTAAAAATCCGGATCCTTTTAAAATTTAACTTCCGGAAAAAAAAAAGAGTTGCCAGATATTTTTCCTTTTTAGATTTTCCATATGCATAAAAAAAAATTTACCAAAATTTAATATATATATATATATATATGTTGTTACTTCAATATTTTAGTAAAGAACAATCAGAATCACAATTTTTATCTTTTGAATTTTCAGAAGAAAAATATTGACTCAATTAATATCTATTTCAAAATATATATTTACATGTTTTATTTTCCCTTATTCAAAAAATAAATTATAAATAAATAAATAGTATAGAACAAGAAGAATTAGATAATTTGACTATATACTGAAATTTGGGATGAAACATTTTTAGATGAAACAAATATTGTTGAATCAGATATAGAAGATTTAGATGATTTGACAATTCAAGATTCAGATGATGGTGATACTTTAAAAAATTGAATAAAAAAAGAAAAGACAGTGAATTAAGTGTAAACCATGTTAAAATGTCAAATAAAAAAATTGCATTTTAAAAAATCAGGAGGAAGTTTTCAGCATGAATGGTTAAACATATATAAATGGTTAAAATATGATGCAGTAACAAAGAGAATGTTTTGCACAATTTGTAAAGCACATGGAGAAAAAAATCAATTTGAGGAAAAGGTAACAAATAAATATAATTAATTTTGCATTTTGCAATTGTTAATTTACTAATGTTATAATGTTAATATTTAGGAACAAAGAATGTTTCAAAATCTACTGCTCTAGCAACTCGTGCACTTTCAAACCAACATAAAGATGTTTTGCTTCTAGAAAAGGCAAGAATAACCATGCATGATTCTTCTGAAAAGGCCATTAATAATGGTAACAAACATATAATTAATATTTACTGGATGGCAAAAAAAAAAAAATATTCCAATTTCCAAACTTACAAGTCTTATTTATATCTTAAAACTTATAGAAATAGTGCACTCAATTCGATTTTCTAGTGTAGATTGTGAAAAAATTTTTATTAGTGAGTGACACTTGACCCCCTGTAGATCCGCAATGTCCTGCGACTGATAGTAATGATTTGCTTTAAATACAACTAAAAGTCACGTGTATATTCACAAAATCCACAAAATTCAATTTCAGCATTTTAGACAATCGAGACCATGATTGTCTAAATGTCTAAATTAATTTATATTTTTAAACATTGTCTAAATAATTTAGTTTAGACACCCATCTATAGTTGCAGTATTGGAGGATAGATATTCTAATAATTTTTACCCAATAATTATCTCATCATCAATTCCAAACCAAAATATATATAAACCAGAAGGATTATTAAGATTGAATAACGACTAATATCCCTATTATGATTGCCTTCTTCATTTAACATTATTATCATTATCATATCAATATCATATATTTTGTAATATGGCATCCTTAAAAGAATATATCATGTAATGTAATTTTGTGATATGTGAAATTTTGTGAAATGCCTAATGTCAAATAATGACGAAAGGAAAGGAGTTGTCTAAAAAATCCCTCTTTCTATATATAGGGAGGGAGATGTTAGTTAATTGATTGATTTCATATGCGGATTTTTTGATTTCTAAAACAGATTCCTATCTTGCTTACGATAGATGATGTTGCATATGGGCGGATTTTTTTATTTCTAAAAATAGAACTCAATTGAGATATCATAAAATTCCTATTCTCGCTCAAACTTTTCTATTGCCTCATGTTACTTCAAGCAGTTCTTTATGTAATCAGACCGCCACATAAATAAATATGCTGCCGGTCCTAATTTGAACATGATTATCAAAAGTTGTAATTTGATTATGTGAAATTGAAATATTACGTAAATTTGAATTTCACATATGTGAATCGCGAATCCACATAATTTCATTTTCACATACAACATATGTATACTAATGCTTCTTCATTCTTTGAATACTTCATCTTGTTCTTTTCTTTATTTTTATTTTTTTTTCTTTTTTGGTTGCTTTTTCTTCTTGAGTTCCACTGTAACTGACTATTCTGTTGTTATTGAAATTTTAAGGTCGATCCTACTCACAATCACACTTTTCCCGTTATCTCTATAGCATTAGAAACATTTTATTAACTTATCGATTGGCTGATAACACGAAGTTTACTATGATACAGTAATAGTGTAGGTAGTCAGTCATAATAACATTATTATTATCATATACATAACAGTAATATATATATAGAAAAAATTATTTTATTTTATTTGTAAAGAATGAATGGATGACAAGAGAATGAAAATTACAACACCAATAATTAATATTAAATATTTAATATAACATTGTCCTTTTCTTCTATGACTCTATGACATCCTTTAGCAAACAAAAAAATAAAAAAATAAACAAGCTACAGCTCACTCTCTATAACACACACTAAGTAAAATCTCTATAATAAACTTCCTTTTTGTCCCTGATTCATTTTTTTATAATTAATCTCTCTCTCTATGACGAACATCTTAATAAACACACGTTA